ACCCTCCTCTTGAAGAACCTTAGTTTCCTCATCCAGACGATGGGGATGCTACACACAGGCTATGATATGAGACAAAAGTATAGGAAGTGCTCAGTGTCCATCTCCTCTGCCTCTCCCAAGCCAGGCTACCCTTTGACTCACATCCCACGGAGCCCCGTGCCGAGTTTCTGGGGAGTGGCTGGAGCAGTGGTACAGCAGGAACCCAGTACCCATGACCAATGCTACCACTCCTCAAAAGGTCTGGGATCAGGAACAAAATGTCAGAGGCACTGAGGCTTGACAGAATGCTCCTGGTCACAGCCTGCCCTGCACTGGCACCCATAAGGATGACCCAGGAAGAGCCAACCTGGAGACCAGAAGGATGAGCCACTGAGACTACCACAATTGGACTACAGAAGGGTTCTCGATCTGACTCTGCCACTGACTTGCTGGCTGACCAGCCAGACCTCTGTTTTCTCTTCTGTAAATGGAGGCTATGAAGAAAGAGAGACCAAGATTAAAGCACCACCGAAGAGTAGGGGACTGCTTCTCAAAGGCCATCTTCTCTTCTGGGTCCTCTTCTTGGTGCTGACAACGCCTGGTTCTCTGTTGCTGCTAATTAGTAATTACTAATGCTGCTTACTTTCCTCACTACCACCTGACTCATAAGTTCTCTGAGGTGTGGTCTCCTCTCTGAGGCTAGGCCCACCCAGTTAACTTCATTTGATGGAGGGTGGGTCAAGCCACCTCAGCCAATAGGACCTCGAATGATAGTCCTCCTTTTTTGAGTCAGAGCTCAGCTTCCTGGGGGTGGCTGAAGGGAGCTTGGCATCCTCTTAACCTCCTGTCTGGGCTACAGTGATCATGCCTCCCAGGACCTGGGTCTGTACCCCCACCCTGCTCCACACAGACTACAAAGGCTGCTGAGAACAAATTCAGCTCCTAAAGCCCACTCAGCCCCAGTGAGGCAAACTCCCATCCTCACACAGGTAGGTGGCTTTATTCTACACATCCACACTGGTAATGTGACCCCTTGTCTCATCTGTCCCTGTGGAGGGCAGAGATGACACATCAAAACCTTCAGAAGACTGTCAAGACCTGGGCCCCTTTTAAAGCAGGGCCCCACAGTCATTCCTCCTAGGGCTCTAAGAGCCCTGTCTATGCAGAATTGCTGAAGCCCTATCTGTTAAATCTTGTGACACCTTTGCTGCTTTAATCAAATATCCTAAAGGCCGGCCAGAGTGGTAAAGGGCAGAGGGGGTGGGGTCCTTCAGTGCTGTAGAAGACAGAGCTAGCGCCTGGGAAGGGCCCTTGGGTTCACAGCTCCAGGAGGAGCCTCCTAAGGGTTGAAACTATCCAACAAGGGAGAGGTCTGCCTCAGTGGAGGGTTCCCTGGGTCTGAGATGTTCCAAAGAACACTAATAGGTGTTCTGTTCCAAAAATGTGCTCCAGTCAAATAGGTATGGAAAATGTTGGGTGGAACAAAGGTTGATGGGTTTTGGGCTGCAGGTCTTCTCAGAGCCTGTACTGTGCTAGAGGGTATTGTGTGTCTCTAAGGGAGGGACACTGTGCTATGCTTTCCAAAAGCATTTGACCTCAAAGCCCTTCCCCTAAACCCCATAAAACATTACTTGACCATAAGGCCACATCTGCAAAACACACCTGTCCCTGGAGGAAGAGGGAAAGAAAGGGGCTTCCCTAATCTGACCTAGGGCAGCACAGCCACCTCTCCCCTTGAGAGGGTACAGGGACTACCCAGGAGGATATCTGGGCATCTGTCTGAGGGGCACAAGAACTAAAGCTATACAAGGTGGTAACTCTATTTTTCTGGAAGTGGGGTCCCACAGTACACACACAGCTGTGAATTTAAATTCCAAACAAAACTTGGCAGGAAAGACCCCATGCCCTCCAGCCCCCCTCCCTCTAAGAGCTGCCTTCCTTGAGTACCTGGAAAAAGTGTTTAGCCAAGGGCCTCAGAAGTCTCTCTCCAGGCATATAGTTGTTACCACAGATCATTGGTTGAAAGATCAGGGCCCAGTTTCTAGACTTAGATGCCTTTTTTAAAAAGTGCAAAAAGTACCTGTGTGCCCTCACCACAAGCATCCAAGTCACCTCCTCATGCTTGCTCCTGCACTTGCACATGAACTCTGCCATCTTTCTCTCTGCTTCCAGGGCCAGTGTTACTCTCAGAACCCTTGGCTTATCTTCAGCTTCCAGAGCTGAGGTTCCAGGGGCACAATGGGCTTCTGTGCCCCCATGTCCTCAGCACCCCCCTCTCCGCCCAAATCCCAGCTGCATTCATGGTGCTCTGCTATTGTGGTGGGAGCAGCCTGGGGGTGGTGCAGGAGGGGGTGGGCTCTTGGCACAGGCACTGGTGCAGACAGGCTGTGGTCAGCAGTCAGCATGCAAGTCACATTCGCAGGCACTGCCACCAGGCCTGCCAGGCCTCGCACAGAATGGCGACAGTCCTGTGTCCCTGAGTTCCTTTGTAGAGTCCCCTCCAGTCCACACACGACCTGCTTCCTTTTCAACTGGCCCCATGGTAGCATTCAGGTGTGGGGTACTTCTCTTACCTTCTCAGCCAGTGGCTATTTTGGATCCACATTAGGTTACTCAGTCCTAGATGGAGGGGGAGCCTGTCCCCAAGAGCACAGCTGGGGCTCCAAGAGGGTTTAGGAGGTGAAGGGGCTGATAGGTGAGAGTGAGTGAGACTGAAGCCAGGAGAGCCTTCTAAAAGTCAGCAAGCACAGCCCTCCAGCCCCTCCAAGGAAGCCACTGGCCTAGGAGCATAGGAGAAGTCTTTGTTACTTCCCCTCACACAGCCTGTCTGTAGACACATCCCCTCCTATTTGTACAGCTCTCAAATCCCATACACATCACCCTGAGGCTACATTTAACAGCAGAGACTACATTTAACAGATAGGTGAATTATGGCCCAGAGACAGGGGGGTTCCCCCAAAGTCAGGTCATGAGAGACTTTTTTTCCACCACTGCCATAGATAACCTTGGCTAGCTCCTTCTACACTGGACCCAGCGAAGGAATGCGCCTATTCATGGGGAAACTGAGGCAAGCAGCTGTAAGGCAGATCAGGAGGCAGACCTAGCTGGGATTCGGGATGCCAGAAATTTCCAAGAAGAGGCCCATCATCCTCCTCCCAGGGGACTCCTGATGACCAAAAACTCCCAGGCCCTCTCAGCAGAGACCCATCTGTGGGGGAAAAGGCCACCATAGGATGGGGGCAGAGGAAGGCTAGTAGGGGTGATTAGGGACCCCTACTTGGCCTGTGGGTCACAGTCACCCTTCTCTCTTAGAGCTTCCATAGAACCTCTATGAAATCACCCAACCATTCACACAGTATCGTCCTGTCTGTCTTCTAATCTGGGCCCCACGAGCCCATGACTAAATCCCCAGGGGCCCACTTGGAGCTCAATAAGTTTTTGATAAACAGAACAAACAACTGAAAAGACCCACTCGCTGAAGAAACACCACACAAACTGTCCTCCAAAGTCACTGATCCCTGAAGCCAGTTCCCTGAAGAGGCAGCAAAGTCTCTTACAAGAAAGAAAGATTCCCAGCCAAGAACAATTCCTCGTGTGGAGAGTGCTTTACAGTTTACAAAGAGCTTTGGCATACAAATTCTTTCTCCTGGCACCAAAGCCTGCCTCTCCATGCTCCTTTCCTTCAACTGTACCCAGCCAGCCCAGCACAGGTCAACCAGTCCTCTCTGCTCGCCTGGTGTTGGACCACCTCTAGCCCCGAGGCCAGCATTTTATATGTCCACGTCTCCCCTAGTCAATAGTGGCAAAGTTGAACACATGATGGGGCCAGAAAGGGTGACCCTCTGTCTCACCCTTCGTCCCCAGCATACGGGTGCCTACACAGGTCTTCTCCTTCAAATGTTCAGGCCTCTGACTCTCCTAAAACTAACTAGTGTGCTCACGTCTAGAAGGAAAATGACCCTCATGTGTGTCCTCTCCCTCACCCCTTCCCCCTGAACTTCTACAGAGAGAGCTGCCAGAAAGGGGAGTGAGTGAAAGCCACAGAAGGGTGTCTGCAGTTCACAAATGAAGCAGGAGTAAGTGGGAGTGGGGGCGGGGGGGGGGGGCAGGGGGAGTCCAGCTGAAGAGAGAGAGGAGTGGTACATTGGAAGACTGAATACCCTCGGAAGGGGCTGCGAGTTCCTGGCAATCTGCGTGTTTATCTAGCTGGGGAAGATGCACTGCCCCTTCGACTTTGTAACTGAATCCACCCAACAGCAGACTTTGCAAGCAGCCGGCCCAGGTTTCTGGAGAACGCACTGGGCAGCTGGAACCTTTCCCCCTACTAGCCCCCCTCCCAAGAGCTCAAGAGGATTTCCCTTTCATTTCCTTCCAGGCTGGGAGGGCGGGGGACAGCGTAGTCTGTGGGGTCAAGCCCTCAAAAACCACTTCCTATGTGGCTGGGGGAGGGCGAGCAGCTGGAGGATGTATCTGGGGGTCCCAGTGTGCGAACAGCAGGAAAAGCCCTCTGGGCAAGTCACTGCTCTCCAGGGTGCACCTCGGGTCGGAAACCACCGAGGTCGAAGGAGAAAAGATTTTAGGCCCCTCCAGAGGAGATCGGAGCAGAATCTGCTCTGTCGGTCCCAGCTAGCGGTGGCCAAGAGGGGGATGGGGTTGGGTGTGGGAAGGACACTTGGAAGGGGCTCCCCGCCCTGGCCGCGCCCCGGCTGTCTAGAGAGAATCCGGAGCCCCCCAACCAGCCGGCCCGCCCCTGAATCCTTCGAGCTGGGCGCCCCAGGCTAGGAGAGGGGGCGGGAGAGCCCCGCCCGCGCCTGAGCTGCTCCCGGCTGGGCTCAGCCGGGAGGTGACGCGCTCCCGGCGCCCCGAGGACTTCGGGCAGCGAGTTTGGCAGAGCTGAGAAAAGCCAAGCCAAGCAGGGCCGGGCAATACGGAGCCAGGCCAGGCCAGGCCAGGAAGAGCAGGGCAGATAGGAAAAGGCCCCGTGCCGTCGACGGAGAGCGGGGGCGCGCAGGGGCACCCACCTCTCCGCGCTGCAGCTGGAAGAAGCTGTTGAGATAGCTGGAGTGCAGGGGCGAGCCCAGCTGCTCTGGGCGGCCCTTGCCGAAAGCCAGCTCTGGAGGCGCAGCGCCCGGGGGCGGCTCGGGCCGGAAGGCATCGAAGGCGCTCGCCTGGTGCGTGTCCTGCAGCGACAGGTAGACCCAGTTGAGCAGCTGGGCCGGCTGGTAAACCGAGGCGGCGCTCGTGTCGATGGCCGACAGCAGGCTCATTTTGCGGCTGCGGTGCCGGCCCCTCCCCGGCAGCCCGCTCGCGCCCCCACCTCCAGCGGAGGGGCGGGCACCGGGGAGCCTGCGCCCACTGCCTGCCGCCCGCGCCCCGACGGCGATCGCCCGCGCCCCGCGCCCTGAGCCCCGCGCCTTGCCCTCCGCCGCCGCCGCCGCCGCCGCCGCCGCCGCCGCCGCCGCCGCCGCCTCTCCGGACTGCGGCTGCAGCGCGCGCGGGCGGAGGAAGGAGGCAGCGAAAGTTGGGCAGGAAACTTTTGGGCCCGCCCACTTCGTTCTGCCCGCCCCGCCCCGCGCGGCGGTCCGCTATCTGCCTCAATGCTGACCCCCTCGGCGACAGCTCTCGGGGTGGAGCCCACGGGGGCCGCACCCCTTCTAGCACCGTCCTAGCCCTCCATTGGCTGTCTTCTTGAATATAAAGTAGTGGGGCGGGGCTAACAGGGAACTAGAGCTCATTTAAATATGTAGCTCAACTTTGTGTTGCCCCTGGGCGGCCCCTTTCCAGGCCCTACCCCTTCCCCGGCGCTTCTAGTCTCGCTCCAGAGTCTCCGGGAACTCAGTACCGCAGCAAACTGATGAAACTCGTCTTGTGCTGCTTGGCTCTCCTCTGTCTCTCTTTCTTCCCAAATCCTCTCCAATTACCTTTTCACTCGGTTTTCGTTTGTATTTCCCCGCCTTTCTCACCCTCTGTCTTGTCTCTCAGACTGACATCTCCCGTTTCCCTCGTCTCTCTACCCGTCTTTTTCTGTGGCTCTGTTTCTCTGCGTCTCTCCGTCCTTTCCATTTCCGTCTAGTCTGATTTGTCTTTCTGTCTCCCCCGCCCCTCCAGATACACACACACACACACACACACACACACACACACACACGCTTCTCCCTCCTTTCTCTCGCTATCACTGTAGGACCCTCCCCCTCCCACTTAATTCCTTCCATCTGCAGAATCGCTTTGCGAGCCGGCTCTGCCAAAGGGGGCCCGGGTTCCTGCCCCAGGAAGGACTCCCCGCCCCCTTCCCTCGCCTTCTCCCACCCCCTCTCCCTCCTGTTTCTGCTCTGGGCCAGCCTCGCTTCTCGTCCTTTTCTTCCCCCCAGATCCGCGGTGCCCTGAGAGTCGCCAAGACACCACCAGATGGGTCCGAGGGAGCTTGGAAAACGACTGCCATCCCCCGCACGCCTCCCAGGACAACCCAGCTAGTCCAAGTAGGCTTAGAGTAGGCCCCCGCCCCCACCTGACTCACCCCAAAGCCCGAGGGCCCTCTCACTCTGAGATGGTCGCCCGCTGCCTGCGCTGCACCAGCACCAGGAACCTAGCGTCAAGGCTCCTAGCGTCTACATTACCTCTAGCGACAAGAGGTAATGTAGAATCACCTTTTACATTAAACCTGGTTTTGGTGCCATTCCACCAACGTTCAAGTGCCAGCTCTGCCACCTTTCACCTGTATGTGGCACCTAAGCTCTGAGAGTGAAATGTAAAATGGGAACGGTCACCATCCAATCTCTGGGTTGTTTGTGAATTTACCAGTTTGAGCTTCATAATCAGAAGATATCCCATAAAGGTCAGCTCTCTGCCCCTCCCCGTCACAAAGATTTCTCCCCTGATCTGCATCTGCCCTCATCTGCCCTCATCTGCGGGTACTTGGACCTGAAAGGACTTCATTGAAGACCAGTGAAGCTCTTTCCCATCATGTCACTAAGCAAGAACCCCTTCAATTTTTTCTGTCTCATTTGATCATGTTTTTAAAGATTTTATCTATCAAATGATTTGTAATTATTGATACAAACCATAGCTCATTTACCAATCATATCTTAATATTTTATTTATCAGAGAAACATCTCTACAGTACCCTTTATATTTTAAAACAGTGTTAAATCTATTCGTTTAAAGAAAAGGTACACACACACCATTAGGAATATGTGTGATAACCATTTTACTCTTGAGAATATTTGGGGTCATCTCTGGAACTCTGCTACTATCTTTGAGGTTCCGGGGGTGGGGGTGCATGATAGTGGGTAGCATTTGGGACCACTGATCTAGACTTTCCCTAGATTTTATAGAGAACACTGTTCAGAGAGGCGACATCTTCTAATTGCACAAGCAGGCAGCTGGGGAGCCCAGAGAAGACCCTGAAACACTCACCTCCAGCTAGGACTCTCTGTCTCTGCTTCACAGTCTTCTGAGCAAGAGCAGTCCTATTAGTTTGAAGGTAGTCCTAGTATGAGTTGCAAATTCAAATTGCTTTATGGGTCAGACAGATACCACCAGGTATAATGCAATAAATACACAGTGAGGAAGCACGTGAACTAAACTGCTAGCCACAAAAAACCCTTCTGTCATGGTTCTCCAACTAAGATCGTGAGTCTGACATGTAGTTTGGGTTCCCTGTCCTGCAGAGTGACTTGATGCTGTGAGGGTGCTTGTCACACCTGGTGACCACATCGATGGCCTTTGTTCCTTTCACAACACCCACCACCTCCACTCCTTACACAGGGCATGGTGCATACATAGGCTGTAGATGATCCAAAACTGTTTGCTAAGTCAATCGTTAAATAGCAGGATGGAAGGGATGGCCAGATTATTCTCCCCTTTGAAGACTGAATGGTGCTTTGGTTTGTATTTTTCTCTCTCCCCTTGCCCGCTTAACACGTGGGCTCTGTACCCAGTGGGTGATCAATAAATTTGAGCAACTGACAGGCAGTTTGCCTAGACAGCAGCTGACTGACCTCAGGTCAACTCCTCAGCTGACCTCTCAGGATTCCCTGAGACAGCACCTCCTGTAGGATGGGGGCAGGGTGATTGCTAGGGGTGAGCTGATGGGCGTCAGAGGCCTGGGTACTAGGCCCAAAAGACTGGGCCATAGCTAAACTCTGTGCCTCCCCATTCCATCACATACACGTTAAGAGCCCTAGCATTTAAATGTCAGAGGTTCTAGCCAAAGCCATTACTTCATAGAAGAGGAGGCACCATGGCCAGAGAAGGAAGGAGACTCATCCAGGGTCACACAGGAAGCCTGATGTCTTAGTCACCTGCTCCTAATCCACTCCCCATCCTAACTCTCCCTTCACTGGTCCTGGTCTGGCAGTCTCCTGGTATAGCAGCACTGTCCTCAGAACTGCGGATAGAAGGGAACTCCCAGGTAGGAGTTAGGTTCCTGCCCCCTTCTCTTCGTGGCGACTCTGTCTATCCAGTGGTCTCCAGAATGGGACAATGGAGAGAAGATAGGATTTGGAGAAAAGAAATCTGGCTGAGTGGCCTTAGAGAAGTCTCTGTCCTATCTGTAAACCTCAGTTTTCTCAGTTAGTCACTGATGGGGTCAGATAAGGATATGAACAGGAAGGTGATTTGTAGCTGTGAACAAGCAATCATGTTGCAGGGATGCATGGCATTAATGGTTTTAGTAAGAGTAATATTCAATTTATCTAGAGTGGTGCTTGGGAGGAGGAGGGTATATGTAGAGAAGTGTCTGCCCCTAAAGTTGCCCAGGCAACAGGTCTGATAGGTGTTTGGTGGAGTTTCAACAGCTTTGAGCTCAGAGAAGCAGGAAAATCTTTAGAAAGAAGAGCAAGTAGGTCTTCATAAAGAGATCAGCTTTCAAATTGGGCTTGAAAGGCAAGCAAAGATGAGCAGAAGAAGATGAGGCTTCACAATCCTGTGCAAATCGATGCTGCTTATTTCTCCAAAACACACCTCATAGTGATTTATGATACAAAGGAATCCCTAACCCCCTTGAACTTGCCCATACTCCATGTCTCAGGAATAAACAGCAAAAGCTGAGGCTCCCCTCTCCTCTGGGCCAGGACTGGGCATTGAGTTCCTTCAGGCTGTGTGTTAACACAGAAGGTGTCAGTTTACAGCAGTGATAGCAAAATGGTAAATAATCTCTGTGCAAGCGCCACTGCCCATCCCTTACCCAGGACAGAAATTGAGTGCGCTGAGTACAGAGCCCCTTCCGAGACATGAGTTCAGATTCCTTCTCAACACAGCCATCTGCATTGCCACTAAGGGTGGAGTTGACCCAGAAGATGAAAACAACTTACGATCCCTGACTTAATATCCACCCTCCCAGGACACTTTCTAACCTATATGATGATTTTGTACAGATTAGAAAACAGGATCCCCTCAATGCCAGTGGGCTCAAATCTTGTATAGAAATCCCCTTTGTATGCCCATTGCCTTGTACATACACACAAAAGGTACCTCCTCCTCTCATGGACGTGACCCCCTTATTGCCGAGCATACAACTTCGTGGATGCTAGCTTGATTTCAGTACCACGAACCCCGGGTGACAAAACCTTAGGGACAGCCTGACCACTCCAGCCCCACCCCTAGACTCTTGATCATAAGAGAATTACAAAAGGTGTAGAGACCCATGAACATTAAACTCAGCCAGCCACTCCATAATGGTTCTGAGTTGGGGAAAGTGCTGGGCTTTTGATCACTGTCCCCTCCCTAGCTGTGTGACACTGGCAAGCTGAATATCCTCTGCTGGACAGTTTCCCCATGTATAAAGTTTTCCCACTGTTGCTTGAATCCCAGGACACAGGAGGGTACTGCATACTCTGAAGCCCCTTGATCTCTGATTCCTAGGAGCCACAGGAATAGGCCTGGCAGCCCCACTCCGACCCCCATTACCCAAGGAACAGCCCTCAGAAAAGTGATGGAGCACAGATGGGACTTTTCTTGCATTGAAGCTATAAGCAAGAATGACTGTTCTCCTTTCCTTCCAATTTTATACCCATTTTTCTTAAAAATATATATTTTTTATATGTATATATATACACACAAGTATATATTTTATATCTACACACACACACACACACACACACACATCTTATCAATAGTCTCAACCTGTGGAGGAACCCCAGACCTTCAGGGCTGGAAAGATGCCTGCACACTCAGAACCAGTGGTCAAAAGTGAACATGTCCTCTTGCAGGGAACAAGGAAGAGTGGCTTTGAAATATGTATGTATTTAGGTTTATGAAACATCTGTTTGGAAAATGAGGATAAGATACCCTAAAGTTAAGTGTGCAGAGCTCCCTACGTTGGGAAAAGTCTTACCCACACCAAAGAATGGAAGGTAAGCTGGTTAATGGAAACTTTGGAAGGA